GAAAGGATACCCGAACAGGTGCGTTACCAACATTATTACCACCCTGATGACAGAAATTATTGAATTTCGATTTTCCCAAAGTAACAGTTATAATGACTTATCTAACAATGTACATTCAGTCATAAGATCCTCAAGCAACCAATAATTGAAGAGTAATGTGATATGAAATTAAACATAATTAATGTTTCTCAATCTGTGGTATCATCACAAATGAAAAAAAAAAAAAATCCCATGTACGAAATGTATAACCAGTAAGAATCAAAAAATTTATCCAGTTATTTTTTTTAAAGAAAAACTGAAGCAAACTCATGCCCCGATGCTCCTATATGAGAAGTGTTAAAGTTAACAGAAAGGAAGCTAAAACTCCAGAAGTTTTCTTCCCAGAATTTTCTAACAACTCTATTTTTGCCCTTTTTAAATGTTCATATAAAATGAACATAGCTCTTACAGTGAATTTCCGTAATAAATTTCCATATCATTTATAACTCTTGAAATTCAATTTAGCAAAAAAAAAAAACCTGGTTTAACGCGACGCGATTTGGCCGTGAATATTCGGAAAGAGTCATTTGTCTATAAACACCTTCACGTGTGATGAAATGAGTTTTCAAATCCTCTTTGGTCGTACTCAATTGTTGAACGGATGATGAGTCAAGCGCGCTCCCGGCGGCTAACTGACTGCTCGTATTCATTGCATACATACATCAAATTTTTGCAATCTTTTGAGTCCTGTAATTAGAAATACTCAAATTAAAACATTAATGTGAATTTAATTTATTTAGAAAAATGTTTAAAAAACAGGACTATGTCTCAAGAGTTAGTATATACAATATTAGGATTTGATAAACTAATTTGGTACAGGAATGATAATTAATCAATAAGCATTAATTTGAAGCCCATACTAGCAAAAAATAAATGCAGAAGAGCTAAACAAACAAAAAAGATATTCAAAATATAGTAAACAAAGTACGCCGCTGAGTGGAACCAAAATATATTTTGAAATTTTTCTATAATTATTTTTTAATTTTTCCTATGAAAAATTTCAATTTTTACCCGCACTTGCCAAGCAAACATCAACAAAAATGGGTAACGAATAAAACTGATTTTTCTACCACCACTTTTTACAAAACATCAATTATAATTATAACAATAATAACGTTAACAACAATCATACTTATTAAATTTAATTATCCATTCAAGTTATCAGCAATCACTCTTATTCCATCCACTCTTTTGTTTCACCTCATGCAGTCATTCTAATTTAATTATGATTAAAAAAACAAAAAACAAAAATCTGAAAAAAGAAACAAATAAGAAAATGAAACTAACGATAAAATAACTGATATATAAGCGTTGTTGTTCATGAAGCACCATAACGATCCCGCATTTCATAGAAACATTCCACTGCTCTTCAAACAATTATCCATTTGATGCTGAGACCCTTCTTCTCTTCTCCTGTTTATGTTTTCTATTTGCTATCACAATGCTGCTGTACCATCAGTTGTTGCCTTTTAATACTTATAAATGTGCTATTTTCATCCCAGTCTAATTCCCTGTCTCGAAGTAGTCGTAGTTGCATCAAAAAGCTAAAACATACACACAAAAGACCATTAACGAACCTTATTCCAATTAAATTTAACCAATATTTCACCAATTCTATCGATGATTATTATATTATAATAATTTCAAACAGTTTGCTTTTCTTTCTCTATTTTCGTGTCCTCATTTTCATTTCACAATCAAATGTTGCAAAATTCGAAAAAAAAAAAAAAAAAAAGTAAAGGAGTGAAACAAAAATAGAAATTGACTATTTGAAAAGAGCTACACGAAATGAAGAATACTGTGATAAAGTTGAAAAATAATCTTCAAAAAATAGAATCAAGGACTCAATCGCACATTAAAAGTTTAAACAAATTTTTCATTTTTACATTTACGTCAACTAAAATATGCATGCATTTGAAAATAGAAATTCCATAAATATCGAAAAAATAATTTTAACTTAACATTCTTAACACGGCAATTTTTAGTTTTTGCATCTTTTTCATTTTAGTTTGATGAAACTTTCACACAGTAAATAAAAAAATAACTTCATTTATATTTCAAAAAATGGAAAAACTGTTCCAAATTTCCCAACATGTAAAATTAAAATTGACAATGAAAGAAAAAAGTATTTTTAAATTTCAGAAACTAAATTTTAGAAAGAAAAAAATATATTTTAACTATAAGTGTTTCAATAATTTGCAAATAAGCATGTTCCTCATAATTATGGATAAGAAACTTATTGACACTATCAATTTTGGTGTCTTTATCACAAAATATTTATGATATGACAATAGAAAAATAAGATAAGTTATTAACAAAAATTTACCCACGAATAATTTGCTACTAATAAGAATATAAATGATATCTGCCCATCAATAATTTGCCAATAAGAATATAAATGATATTTACCCGTGAATAAATTGACAATAATAAGGAGATAAATGCGATAACCCTAACATAAGAACGACCTTAATCAATAAACTGACTTCAAGTAAGTACCACCAATTAAGTCATCGCTACAAACATACAACAAACCAAAACAATTATGAAATTTGCAATCCCATTAAAGATTTATTTGCAGTTAAAAAGAGATTTGTTGTTCTTTTTTTTGTTGTTTACTTATTTTTAGGTAATATTTAACTTTGTCTAATTTAGCTATGAAAGCTGACTTCAAGTAAGTACCACCAATTTAATTATCTTTTATGCATTCCATACAACGTTTTGTTTTTTGATGTAAAGAGAAAGTCATATTTGCAAAGGTAAATTGAATTTAATTACTATTACGCGATATATCTTAAGTTGACTCATTGATTAATTATGCAAACAGATAAACGATGAATGCCCTTAACAGTCATTATTCTTTTATATTTACGTCATTTTTACTTGACGTACACGTCGATTTTGTGTAACAAAAAAATGATGCGTGTATCATTTATGCGGCCTAACAGTTACGAACGTCAATTTTGGGTAATAAATGAATGGTACGTGCACCATTTATGCTTGACGCAACAGTCACGCACGTCTATTTTGCGTAATAATTGAGTGGTCCGTGTATCGGTTGTGCTTAAAAAATAACTTATGATTGCGATATTTTGTGTGTAAAGGTTTGTATTAATTATATTTCATGTATAAAATGGCGTATTTAAACGCATTTAAGTAATTGTCAATGACGTATGCCAGTGATATTTTTACACATAAATAACGTACGTTAAAAAAATGCGTTATACCGATTAAAACGTAATATTTTTTCTCGACTATTTTAATCAAATTTCAGCGTATTAAGTGGAATAATTCAGCGATATAAATGATTTGTCACATTTCATTAATCAAAATGAAAAAAAAAAGTGGAAAATGTAATTGATAATAATTTTTATGCATTTTTCATTTTTCATTTTAAAACATAAAAAGTGAATTATCAAAAATAAAAAAAAAAAAAAAAAATTAATATCCTATAATCAATATAGCTATTAAAATTATGAAATTTAACATTTCAACAATATTTGCATATTATTTCTCTTCGTTTCCTTCAATCAAAAATTTTATTGAACAATTTTTTATTCAATAATTGCTTGCGATAATAATCTTTCATATTTATTTATTTATCTTTCATATCGATTTATTTATTTTTTTTTTTATTTTTTGTTCTAATCATATATTCTATCCACTTTACAATTAGTTAATTCTTTCCAAACTTAAATTTATTCTTTACCCTATGAAAATACTAATTATTGCAAATTATAGTTTCATCATTCATTACTGTGTATAGATTTTACTGAATATATAGAAAAAAGTGGGAAAAAAAAATTTGTTTCAAAATAAAAAAATGGAAAAAATAGAAAGTAAAAATTTATTGGCATAAATTTTTTTTTTTTTTTTCAAATCGATAATGTCTATCATTCATTTATCGGATTGAAATGAATACCAATGGAATAAAAACTGTGAATGTTTGTTTGAAATGGATAAAAAGTAAGATAAATTATTAAATTTTCTAAAATCTTTTCTTTATTTCTCTCTCCTTTTTTTTTTTGAATAAAAAATAATTCTTATCATTTATCATTTTTTTTTTTTTTTTTAATATCATAGTAATTAATAAATGAATATCTGTTGATTTATTCGAATCTTTTTTTTTTTTTTGTTTAAAATTTTAAAATACATTTCATTTTTTTTTTTTTTTAAACTAAATTATTTCTTCTTTCTTTCTTTCGCCTATTATCAAATGACAGTAACAGAAAATGTCACATAAAATATGAGCAAAAGATAGTTATATTTGTGAATTAAACAATTTTAAAATGAATGCAAAATAATATTTTTCAATACTGCTTCATTAATCTTTCATTAATCTTTTTTTTCTTTTCTTTTCTTTTTTTTGTTGGTTACAAACATTCCAATTAATTTTTTAAATTTTGATAAGAAAAAATTTATTTAAATGATTTTTAACAAAACGAATAAATAACACTTAAGGAAGAGAAACAAAAAAGAAAAAAACATTTAATTAATAACATAAATTACTATTATTTAATGCATATTACTTTCTCTCTTTTACATTCATTTATTGAGCACTTAAATTTATTAAAATATGCTAATTAATTTGGATAATTATTTCAAATGTAACATTAAGCATTAAATTATCAATATATTTTACTAATAAAAACTATGATTATAAAATCTAATTAATATTTCAATGTTTTTTATCATTTTATTTTTTTTTTTTTTTACTATCATTTTTATTTTTGAAGTATTAATTATTAAAAATTATATGAAAAGTTTTGATTTTTATTTGATAATTTCAATGTTTTTAATTTCAAAAATATTCATATTTATAAGTTTAAAAAAGGCATTGGAAATTGAATTTTCGTACTGAAAGAGAAAAAAAAAAAAAAAAAAAAAAACTATAAGAGAATGACAAATAAAAATAATAAACGCATGAACACAATTTTTAATTTTAAATTTAAAATTAAAATTTAAAATTCAGCAGCACTGTAGCGTTGAGCACGTTCGATCTGACTGATCAAAATAGCTAAACGACGACGTATTTTCTTCTGATCATCTGCTGTACACTCGATAACCTATAAATAATATTATATATGAAAAAAAAAAAAAAGTATAACAATCAATAATTTTAATTTTTATTTTTGCTAATTCTGAATGAAATTCAAAAATTTATTAATCTTTTTTTTTTTTTTTTTTTTTTTTTTTTTTTTCAAACCATTCATAATTTTATTTCTAAATTATAAAATTATAATATTTTTAAAATATTTTTTTAGCTCTTTTTACATTTATATTATTTATCAAAATTATTAAAAGCTATAAAAATTTTATAATCGTATGATTTAATATCAGTGACATTATATTTATATTTGTTTAATTAATTTCAATTATATTATTTTAAATGAAATTTTTTTTTTGTAAATTAAAATAATAAATTTAATAAGAATGGATGTGGAAAAAAGCAGGAATGTTTTATTGGATTAATATTTTAATTACAGACAATGTAAATTATTATACATTAAAAATTAAGGAATTAAAAAAATTTTTTAAAAATTAGGGAATTAAAAAAATTTTTTTAAAAATTAAGGAATTAAAAAAATTTTTTTAAAAATTAAGGAATTAAAAAAATTTACCTGAGTTTGAAATCGTTGATCAATTGGTCCATCAGGTAAATCAGGTGAGCAAGCATTGAGAAAGCGCTTCATTGCCTATAAAAAAACGAGTAAAAAAATCATAAAAAAAAATAAATTTATTTTTTTAAAAGAATTTTTTGTAACTTTTGCAAAAATATTTTGTGCTTAACTTTTAATATACATTTTATTAAAAACTAAAGGAAATAAAATTAATTAGAAATAACATAGAAACATTTTTTGTTAAGCGCAAAAAATGTTACTAACTGACAAACGGATAAAATTTTATAATAATAAATTTAATTATAAATAAGTTTAATTATGAATAAACAAAAATTAATAATTTTATTAATAGATGACAATAATTAATTATGAATGAATGAGAAAAAAAAATTAACTACAAATGAGATTAATCAATTAATTCGAATAACTTTAATTATTAAAAAAAAAAAAAAACAGTTAATTGTTAACTTAAATTTTAGGTACGAATAATTAATTGATGAGAATTCATTTCAATTTCAAATAAAAAAATAAGTTAATATGAAAAGGTTTAATTGTAAATACAAATAATTATTACAAGTTATTTCTTTTTTTTTTTTTTTTTCAGGCGCAAATTATCATTAAAAAAAAAGAAAAAAAAAAAATTAATAAAAATCTTTTTTGTATATTATACGTACATACCTCTTTTGCATTATTTAAATCATCTTTCATTTTATTCATTGCTGCTTCAATCAAATTATTAACATTTGTAAGCGCTTTTGTCTGTTCCGCATTACGCGGCGTATTTACCACTACTTCGACAGTCTTACAACGATTTAATAAGCGACTAGCTGTTGCGCTAATGTCATCACGATCACCCAAAATTTGCATAAATGATAATATGTTTGTAAGGATGAGAAGAAAAAATTTTTCCTTATTATTCATCAAAAATTATTTCAATTTTAATATTTAAATAAATGACTATTTTGATTTACTAAGACATATTTGATAAAAGTAGAATAGATGAATAAGAATTAATTAGAATTGAAATTATTATCTTTTCCAAATATTCTCTTTATATTAATCACTTTTAAAATTTTAATAATTTATTGTAAGAAAAAAAAGAAAGAAAAATTATAAAATTCTAATTTGCAATTTACAAATTTATTTCAATTAATTTATCGTTTTTTTTTTTTTTTTTCTAATTTTAATAGTTGTTAATTTATTCTAATTTATAATCTATTCATTAATTTGAATTAATTTTAGAGGAAAAAGAGGAAACAAATATTTTTTGTCATTTTTTTATACGAAAATAATAATTTTGTTTACCTTGTCCTAAGCGTAACAATTCAGAATCTAAATTAACATTTCCAAGCATATTAATTAATGATTCTTTTTCTTGTTCCAATTGTCCAGCTGATTCTCTGTAATAATTTTTGAAATTAATAAAAGGAAAAAAAAAAGAAATTTTTAATAAAAAACTAAATTTTCAAATTATTTTTGAAAAATTTTAAAACATCTCGTTTTTTTTAAATAATTAAAATTTATTAAATTAATAAAAAAATTTTTTTTTTCTTTACTATTATTCTCATTAATTTTTCACTGATGCAAAAAAAAAAAAAAAAAAAAAAAACGAAAACTCTTTTCAATTATTCTTCAATGATTTTTATATATTTCAATTAAATTTACATTTTAATTATTTTAATTCTATCTTTCAATTTTATGAAATAAAAAAGTATTCTTTTGTTTTGTTTTGTTTTATTTGATTGTTCTAATATAATGATTAAATACAAAATTAAACATATTAAATTTTATTCCCATAAACAAACAAATTTTATAGCATCAACCAATTAATTAATTAATTTAATTTTAAAAGTATTCTTGCCGATTTGTTAAACTTAAGTTAATTAATTAATTCCTACCACCAATTATAATTATTTAATTAATTAATGCCTATTTAAACATTAGACAAAAAAAAAAAAAAAGATGAAAAATGCTACCTTAGCTGTTCTACTCGCTTTTCCACTTGATCTAGCATTCCGATCATTCTTTCATTAAAATCATCAACGGATGTTTTCCGGATTAACTGTACCGGAACGGTACGTGAATTATTAGAATTCATTACTGTTTGATATGATTGATCAGTGTAATTGTCTTCCTCTACGTCAAAAAATTTACGATTAGCAGGCAGTGATGAATTTGTTGGTCGAACAATACGAAAATTTCTAAAAAAAAAAAAAAAAAAAGTAAAGTATAAAAATATAAACAAAATTTAAATTTAAATAATGAATAAACAAGAATTAATTATTCGAAATCAATATTTACAGTTCAAATAAAAATATTAACTGAAAAGCTAAGTAATACTGTTTAATAAAAATTAAAAACTTTTAACAAACAAGTAAAATGATTTCCGTTTTAAAAAAAAGGGCAAAAAAAAATCATTAATTACTTTAAAATATTATCAGAGAATGACATGTAATATTTTAAAATATAAGTAAATAATAGCAATAATTTAATATAATTAATTTTTGAGAAATTTTAGGAATTTTTTTCTAAATTTTTTTAATATCTCTGAAGAATTTAATTTAAAAATTGCAAGAATAATTAAATAAGTGTGTTATTAATTTGTAATAGCATAAAATTAGATATGTAAATATGAATTGAAAGTAAATATGATAATTTATCATTTTATCAGATAATGATAAGTTGATAATTGTGATAAAAAATGAAAGGAACAAATTTTTTCTTTGTTTGTAAAATAATGAAAAAAATTTTCTTAGTAAAATATTTTTGTTGGCACTAAAAAAGAAGTAAAATTAATATTAAATATTTTCATTGCTATTTGTAAAAATTGAATTTTGAAGAAAAAATTTTAATATTTTTTCGAAAAAAAAATTAATTCCTACTAGAATAAAACCAAATAAGTAAACATAAATGGAAATGAAAGAATAAATGATTGAATCAAAAAATTGTAATTGCAAAAAAAAAAAATAATTAATTGCTTATAACAATTGAATTGATGATTTATCTTAAATTCAAATTCATTTTTTTTTTCATTTTTTTAAAAATAATTTACAAAGGACTGAGGAATTTAAAAAAATAATCCAAAATTTCTATTAATTAAAAAAAATGTAAAAAAAAAAAAAAATGAAGAAAAATGAAAATAATTGAAATAATTTATGTTAGCAATAATTACTCTCAAAAATTTTTAGATTTATTCTTTTTTATAAATTTATTTGCTAATCAGTTAAAACTATTTGCAATGATAAGCAGTAATTAAAATTTAAATGAAAAACTTAATAAATAATAATTGACAAATTTTGATTTTTTTTTTTTTAAGGAAGACAGAATTGTATAAATTTGCAAAAGTTATTTAAATATTTCGCTCTTTCCTTTCTTAAAATAAATTTTATTAATTAAATCAAACAAATAATAAATAATAATTAAAAATACTAATTAAAAAAATTTTTTTCATAAAAAAAATTGCATTGTTCTTAAAATTAAATATGTATATTACATTTTTTAACACAAAAATTTTCTTTTTCTCTTTTGATTTTATCATTTTAGGATGAAAACTGAATAAAAATTCTTTTTAGGTGCGATTATTGTTAAATTTATTTCATTCATTCATTATAATTAAATATTATTTTCAATTCCATTTTTAAGTTATAATTTTATAATTTTTTTTCCGACTAATTGGAATAATTATTAATCATAATTTTATCATTTTTAATATTCTTTACAATTTTACTCGAATTTTTAATAATTTGTATATGTATATAATCTTTTCTGATAATTTCTTAATAATTTTTGAAATTTTCATCAATAATACTTTTCTGTAATATTTATTTTATTATTGAATTATAATTTAATTATAAATTTATCCTGATTACCTGATGTATTCCTTAATTAAAATTTTATCTTGAATATTTAAAATATTCCTTATCAGTTGTATTTACTGATCGTTTTTTGAAATCATTTTCACTATTTAAAATCATCAATTAAATTAAATTTCATTTTATTTTTTCAGATAAAAGATTTTTTTTCTAAAATAAAATGAATATGTTGAATGATAAAATAGTTGAAATTGTTGTAAAAAGTTAATGAAATTGGTAAATTTCAGAACTTAACAAATAACTTTTTTTTTTTCTTTTACTATAAACTTTTAATTTCAAATTATGTAAATTTTTTTTTTGCTTTCCTTTCTTGCTTTTTTCATGAATTTTTAAAAGTTTTGACTTTTATTATTTATTTTTTTTTTTTTTTTTAACGAAAAGCTTTGTTTTTCTTTTATTATTCAATTAATCTAATTTATCATCGATTCAATATTATATATTTCATGAATTGCATAAAATTAATTTATCAATTCTTCGCATTTATTACTAATTTACAAATTAAAAAAAAAAAACCAATTAAATTTATTAAAATTTGTAAAAACATTTGTCTTTTAAAAGTTTTTTTTTTTCAAGTTTAGTTTAATTTAATATTATTTTGAATGTTTTAATTTAGTTTAATTTAAATAGAGAAGAAGAAGTAAACCAATTCATTGAAATGAAAAGATTAAAAAAGAAAATAATAAAATGAAATATACTCTCTATCTTGCGGGAAAAAGAAAATCATTTTATGAAGAACAATAAAATGAATTTCATTGGGAAATATTTTCGGGCAAAAGAAGGGAAAAAAAAAAAAAAAAAGTGAAAAAGGGAAAATGAAAAAATTTAAAAGAACGAACTAGTTTTCAAGGTGAAGTACAATCATTTTGATAATATAAATGCAAGGACGGTTGGCTCATTTTTATTTCAAAAATTACAGCGTAAAATTCATTTTTTTTTTTCTTTTGAAAAGAACAAATAAAGAAAATATTAATTTTTAAATTTTATATTTTCCATTAATACCAGGTTAAAGGTTAAATTTCATTTGCTTATGATATATTGAAAATATTTAATTTAATATTTAATTCATTAATTAATTCATTTATTCATCTCATTTTATTTTCGTCTTATTTACTGGCAATTACTAATGTATTTGTTTAAGAGATGCAAAAATATAAAAAAAAAAAAAAAAAATATTTAAATTAAATATAATTAATAATTAAAATATAACATTTTTTGATGAATAATAATTTTATTTAACTAAATAAAACGATAATAATAATATAAAAGATAAATCAAAAAAAAATTTATAGTTTTAAATATTAATTAAAAAATTTCTCAAATTATGTGAAAAAAAAAAAAAAAAAACTACTTCAAATTATACGAATTTAAAGTTAAATTGTTTTGAAAATTGCAATATTTTAATATTGCACTAAACTTCATCGTTTATTTCATATCAAAAAAAAAAAAAAGAAAAGAAAAAAGATTTCAAAGTAAAAAAAACAAAAATAAAACAAAATAAAACTTAAAAAAAAATCAAAAACTGTAATAAAAGAAAAGTTAAAAAAAAAAAAATGTAGCGAAAGTAATGAAATGATCAAAAAAGTAATACCTAAAACAGTAAAATGATAAATTAATCGTTAATTAAGAATATTTTTACATTTTATGTGATAAAAAATTTAAATATAATTTCACTTAGCTTATCATCAAATCATATTATCATTGATAATGAAAGATATTGAAAATAAAAATTAAACAAATCGATAGAATTTTTTCATCTTTTTTTTAAAAAAGAAAAAGAAGAAGGAAAGAGTGAGAAGAAGTGGAACAGAAAAGTAAATGAAAAATGATAGTTGCATATAATTTTAAACGAACAGCTGTTATTGAGATAAAATTTGTTATTCATAAAATGAAATGAAAAAAAAAAGAGAGAGAGAGAGAATTTCATATTTTAAAAAGTAATAAAAGAAATAAATTTAATTTATTAAGAATGAAAGACATTTTGATAAATATGATAAATAAGAAAAAAAAAAAAGAGAGATTAAAGATAAAATGAAAATGATAAAATAAATTTTAAATCAAATGGAATGGAAAAAGTTTAGAAAAGTGTTAAAATGAAATGAAATGGCGCAATTTGTGCAGCTGTAACTAAATAGAAAACATTTGTCATGAAAAATGACTGAAAAGTAATAACAATAACAGTACATTGTTTACATTTTATAAAGCAAAGAAGAAGGAAGGAAGAAGGATGATGCGCAAAAGTTCAAATCTTTTCAATCAATCAATCAGTCAATCGATCGATCGATCGATCGATCAATCAATAATAATGATTCATTTCAAATGATTCAGCAATTAATGAATGGAATGGATGTAATAAAAGTAACAAACAATAAAAAAAAAAAAAGAACAGAAATAGAAAAGAATGAGTAAAGTGAACTGGAAAGATTTGAAATTTTTTTTTTTTTGAACAATTTTCAATTTTTTCTAAAAAAACTAAAAAAATAATAAAAACATGATGATTCATTGGGGAGGGGAGGGGGGGGGAGGGGGAGGAGGGGTGATTCATTGAAATTTCAATGAAAAAGGAAAAAGTGGAAAAAATTGTTGAATTGAAATTAGAATAAATGAATGAATAAGTAATTTAAATTTTATAACATTTAGTGCAATTGTTTATCATTTAATATTTTAATAAAAATTTGGTTGTTTTCTTTTTTTTTTATTTTTAAATTTCATTTCAAATTCTATAATAATATGCTATTGATATTTTAGGTATAATTATATATACCATTGAAAGCTATCAAAATAGCTAACTAAAATTATTTATCTTTTTTTTTTTTTCTTATTTTAAAAAAAAATAAATAAATTATTGAAATTAATAACTTTAATACACAATGCAATTTCTGTCAAAAAAATAATTGTATTTCATTAATAAAATTATTAAAATAAATTGCAAAGTCATAATTTTTTAACCATTTTTATTCATTGCTTTCTTTTTTTTTTTTTTTTTTTTGCACAAATTTAATGGTAAGATAATTGATTAAACAATTTTAAACTCTTAAATTTAAGCAAATTAAACGAAAAGATTTAATTTGGGTGTAAAACAATTAATTAATTAATAAATTAAACTATTAAACAGTCATTTTTTTTTTTGCATTCATTCACAGTACACTACAATCTCAAAAGAAATATGTCAAATATCTTTTTTCAGAAAAAAAATACTAAATTTTAAATTAATATTAAAAAATGGAAATAAGAGAAAAAGGAGGGAGAGAGAGAGAGAGAGAAGAAGAGAAAGAGATGAACGATTTATTTAGGTCACTTAAAGAAATAATTTTTAAGTTCCATCACCACAAATCAATAATATCAATTTTACCTATTTAGGATAACAGGTGATCAATACAAGAGTATATTATATACCTGACATAAATATATATTTTAGATTAATTAATTTAATTATAATATTAATTAATAACTTTACACTTTTTTATTTTTCACCTTCTTTTTTTCAAACAATTTTAAAATAAAACAATCAAAAATTGTAGAAAATATAGTTTAAGAAAAAAAAAAAAAAAAAAATTAATAATAACATTTGTTTTTTATAATTTTTTGCTTCTTATTATTCATTTACTGAAAGGCATAAAATCAAATTATAATTAAATTAAATAATTAAATGAAAATAACAAAATTGCATACCCATGAAATGCCATTAGTAATTGTTAAATTAAAATGATAATCCGTGATAATAATTAATTCAACAACTAATTAGTTCCAGTGATAATTTAATAGTAATTCGATTCGTTTGTTTCGTCTTTTCTTCTTTTATTTTTGCTGAGATATTAATCTGAAATAAGTAAATTATTTTAAAATATTTAACAATTCCATTTTTTTTTTTAAATCTTACTCTTTTTATTAATTTAAAATTAATAGATTTATAACTTTCTTATTTTCGATAATTAATTTTTGCAGCATCGTTCAAAATTATTTTTGTATCATTTGAAAGATTAAAAAATAATGAGAATGATATAACATGAATAGTTTTCTTTGTTTTTCTCCATTTCAACTTAATTAAATTATCTCATTTATTCCGCCTATTGATCAAATCATCAATAAATTCAATTTAATTTATTAAATTCGTTTATTAAAATTAGCACTAACAAAAAATAAAAAAAAAACATAGAAATAACTTAAATAATTATAACACTTTTTATTTATTTTTAAAAAATTCAAGAAACAATTTCAATTACATATTTAAATAATTGTTAAAAAAAGCAAAAAAAAATTTTTTTTTCCTTCTATCATTCTTATCAAAATTTTATTTCTTTTCAAATTTATGTACAAATATTTTTTATTTATTTTCTTTAATTAATTTATTCATTATTATCAATTCATAATAATGAAATTATAATCATTCCAAATATCTTTTTTCCCTTACTATCATTTCACTCTTACCTATATACCTGTAATAATCAATATTTCACAATGATAATAATTAGTGATAACAATAGCAGTAGTAGTAGTGATAATAGTAGTTGTAGCGATCACAATGATTTTGTCACCAATGTCAATCAGTGTAGAACTAATCGCTTAACAATGTTACCTCCTTCTTTCGGTCAATAATTACAGTTTGGTTGGTTGGTTGGATAGTAGAGAATGGATGATTGAAAATGTTGACAAATCCGAACAATTAATTCATTTCATTTATAAATTATGGCATAGAGAGATGACATTTGGAGATGACACACAGATTGAAATTTGAAAGAAACTATGGAAAGAGAAATAATTTTTATAAATAAATAATAAAAAAATAAGAAAAGTATGGTAATTGATATTCACAGTATAAATAACAACAATAACAGGAGCAGAACAATATACTTTTTATAAGTAAACAATAACAATAACATCAACAATAACAGAAGCAGAACAATATGCTTTTTATAAGTAAACAATAACAATAACATCAACAATAACAGAAGCAGAACAATATGCTTTTTATAAGTAAACAACACAATAACAAATAACGGCGATGACATCAACAATAACAGGTGCAAAATAATATAATTTTCATAAGTAAACAACAGCAGTAACAACAAAAACAGAACGATTATTTTTTTAAGTAAGGAACTACGACAATAAGAAAAGTAAAATAATAGATGTTCGTAATGTAAAAACAACAACAGAAGCAGAACAATATGTTTTTTTTTTTAATAAGTAAACAACAATAGCAACAAAAACGATTAAAATAATGGATATTTGCAGAGCAAATAATGGATATTTACAGAGCAAATAACAACAAATAACAACAAAATTACAATTTAATATTAAAATAGCAAAAATGATAAAAAAACAAATAAAAACTTTTTCACATATTTCTTCTACAATGTTATTTGTTAATTAAATTATTATTTAACATTCATTCGTTAACTAATTTTTGAAATTAATTAATGCATTATCATTTACTTATTACTATTCCAAACAAATGAAATAGTAAAAGAGATAAAATGAAGCATAAATAAAAATTATTTTATTCTAAATTTTCTTCTTTCACATACATTAAAGTAAAGTAAACTTGTCACAATAACATTTAATTCTTACTTTTATTTTTTCTCGCAGAAATTGTAAAATGCAAAAAACAGAAATTATCATTAAATCAGCAACTAAAATACAATATTTGTGATCAATCAATTAATAAATGTATTAAAATTCCCACCAAGAAAAATTGATCTTTTTGATTATTACTGGCAATTAATTAAAAATGTTTTTTTTTTTCTTTTTTTAAATCACTAATAGAATAAATTCTTAAAACTATATTTGATATAATTAGAACATTTCTTGTTTTCGTTTTCTAAACAAAAAATTATATAATTCCATTGAAAAAAAGGGAAAAAAAAAAACTGTAACAAAATTTTTTTCTTGAAAGTTTACTTAAAAGTAAAAAAAAAAAGTAATTGAGGAAGGAATGGCAATAAATTTGTACATTTAATAATTTATTGAATTTGCTAATTTATTTCTTATATATATATATGTATTTTTAATTTATGATAGATAAGTTTATTAATTTATATTTAATAATTTATGATAGATAAGTTTATTAATTTATATTTAATAATTTATGATAGATAAGTTTATTAATTTATATTTAATAATTTATGATAGATAAGTTTATTAATTTATATTTAATAATTTATGATAGATAAGTTTATTAATTTATATTTAATAATTTATGATAGATAAGTTTATTAATTTATATTTAATAATTTATGATAGATAAGTTTATTAATTTATATTTAATAATTTATGATAGATAAGTTTATTAATTTATATTTAATAATTTATGATAGATAAGTTTATTAATTTATATTTAATAATTTATGATAGATAAGTTTATTAATTTATATTTAATAATTTATGATAGATAAGTTTATCTTTTCAATCATTCATAATTGCAACAATTAATTAACGATTACTGCATGCAACAAATATAGTAAAACTATAATCATTTATTGAGATCGGTAGTTTTATTGATAATTGCTGATATCGTGGTGATATGACACTACTGATAATAGATGATATGATAACGTTTACTGATAACATAATGATACCTTATCGTCACCCATTACTTTACCTCGCATACAACTATTCCCCCAGAAACATCTCTTTGTATCAAAGCATTTGGGATTTTCCGCTGCTGTAGCGAAATAATTTGGCGGTTATGGCCTGCTTTGAGTGGCGGTAATGGTTGAAAGGGAAAGGGAGAGGCGGTGAGGTGAAACAGTTGCTGAAAGTATGGGATCTGATGATAACTGATAAGTGCTGATAGTAATCACTAGCAATTCATACGTTGAGTGATTATTGTATGCAATGATAGATATCTGTTAATGATATAATGTTACTGATAACGAATTAATGTACCATTTTGCAACTGATAACCTAATGATATCTTATTGTATCATATTTATTATACTGTATAATTTTATAGAACTAATAATAGTTAATGGAATGATAACTTAAACGTTGTTTCATTTCAGTTTTAATAAACAACTCAAACAATTCAAGAATTTCACATCATCCGTATTCTTATCAGATTTTATCAATGGTAACTAATGATGATAAACAGCATAAAGAGCAGCAAAAATTATGGAACAGATTATTTAAAACGGATAAGTTTAGCACCGTAATACAATTACCACGGAAATATCGTCATAATCGTTGGAATGCTATTCGTACATTAGGTGATGGTAAGTTTGTACTTTCAAATTTGTTGCTTTCAAAGTAAGTTGGCAATTTCAAATTTATCTTTTATTTTTTCAATTTTTACTAGATTTCTGTATTGGAATTACTTGTTTTTTCCTTACTTTTTGAATTTTTATAAGAATTTTATTTGAGTTTACTGACGTTTATAATAATAATCAAATTAGTCGATTATTTTATTAGGACATCTTGTTCAAAGTTTGAGTATTTTGTTACGAAAAATTTTCAATTTTAGATATTTTGAAGTATTTTATAAACTTTAAATTATTTTCAAGGTGCCTTTGGTGAAGTTCGTTTATTGGTAGATTCGGAAAATCCAGAAATAGTGGTAGCTGCAAAATGCATGAATACAAATGCATCAGGAAAAGAACAAGAATTCTTCAAAAAACTGCGTCGTGAGGTTATCATAGTGATTTTGATCTAGAAGAATAACAAAAATATTTGAAAAGTATTTAATCAACAGTTAGACTTGCTACTTTTCATTAGGAAACCGTAATGAATAGGAATATAAAAACAATTAGAGGAAGTTAGAAGTCTGGTTTGAACTGCTAGTAAACAAATCCCTTATCCTTGAAGGTTTTTTTAATTGCAACCCTTTCCTCCCAAATCTGCCTCGAGATGACCTTTCATTAGGAAATAAGTTCAGAAAATGCTGGAAAAATATTCAAAAATCAAGTGAAATTGCATTTTCTTCCTTTGTTTTACTTTTTTTTTTTGTTTAGTATGGCAAAATTATTTTTCTCCAGTTTATTTAATTTTATGAGTTTTAATGTTTTCAGGTAATATAATCCAAGAATTTTCAAATATTCATTTTTAGATGATACATTTATAATTAGAAATTTTTGCAGGCTTTGATTATGCGTATATTTCACAATTCTGAACATGTCATTCATTACATTGGAATGCGTTATGATGCGGGACGTATTGAAATGTTTCTCGAATATGCTGATGGAGGAGAATTGTTCGATCATATCGGTAAAGTTTGATTCATGTTTAAGAAAATTTTTACAGATCTTAATTTTCATCTTTAATAAGGTGTCATTTGATTTTCTTTTATTAAATTTCTGAGTCTTTTTAAAAATTATAACAGGAGCTTCAGTTACGGATACGTCTTCGATAATTTTTTTTTTTTTTTTTTACGTCTTACATTTCTTAATTGTACTAAATGGTATAATATAATGTTTGCAATTTTCATCAAAATATAAAATATTTTGAGAACCGGACAGTGGCATGCCAGCTCGGAAAGCGCAGAATTTTTTCCGGCAGATCATTGCTGGATTGAAGCATATTCATTCAATGGGTATAGTACATCGTGATATCAAACCAGAAAATCTGTTACTTATGAAAAATGGTATCTTACAGAAGAGTATTAAATTTTAATCAGTCTTTATAAGTTGTGATCTGTGACTAAATCAAATGATATATAAATTATTTGATTCTGAGATTTAATATACTTATATTTATTGCAGGTCAGCTAAGAATTTGCGATTTTGGTTTAGCAACAATATTTCGTCATAAAGGAGTGGAAAGAAAGTTGAAATCGAAATGTGGCACAGTACAGTATCTTTCGCCTCAGGTGTTATCATCCGACTACAGGTTTATCTATTAAAATAGTTGGTGCATAATTTATTCTTCATTAGCTATTGATGTAAACTAAGAAATATATTATTATAATGTTTAGGAAATACATTGTTTATTGAATTATGCAGAAATATTTCTTAAATAATTCTTTATACACTTGTGAAGGAAAATTTTTCAAATTTTCATATCAAAAGCTAATCAAACTTAAAAAAATATGCGATAGTGAAGTCTATTATGCTTTATCTGTTAAAATAGTCAAAGTATTCAGAGGCGAACCATCCGATATATGGTCCTGTGGAATTGTGCTCATTGCATTGCTTACTGGTGAATTACCCTGGGATGAAGCGGTCAAGTATGCTTTTGAAATAATTAATGTCCAATTGCCTTATCCATTTTTTAGCAGTTATTTATCACTATATATGAATAATTGTTTTTTAGAACTTCAGCAGCTTTCAAACTTTGGCTTACACAGTATGATTGGAGGCGTCAGCCACCTTGGGATAGACTTTTTGGACCAATAACAAGTATATCCTTGTTATTATTTTAAACTTAAGTTCTTTGCTCGGAAATCAATTACTGTTGCAATGAACTTTTCTTCACTCTTTCTAACATCGGTTTTTTCTTATTTATTCTTTCTACTTTTTTTATTCTTTTTAGTATGTATGAAATTCAGATGTATTAACGATTGGATATTATTTCTCTACAACTAAACATCAGTGTCTTAATTGGCCGAACCAACAATGGAAATTAACAATACTGTCGTTTATTACTCTTTTCCTCTACTGCAACTATCATAACTTAATTGTCGTATTTTTAGTTTCTTTAGGCATTCACTATCATTTATTTATAAATGTTAACTAAGTTTCAGATTTGTTACGAAAGATGCTGGATGTATGTGAGAAAAAACGAATCAAAATTCCAGAAATTGAGCAACATGAATTTTTTGTCAGCGAAATAAGTAAGTCTGTGTGTTATAAATCTTGTTATAAATTGTTACAATAGAAGCATTAATAGTAATTGATGATGGATGATATTTTACTTAATAAATTATTCGTAAATTCTTTAAGAATATGAAATACCGAGTGCGAAAAGGATGAGAGGTTTTAAGGCACAAGGTAAGAATGTTGCAACCATCCCACCGAAAACTGCAAATGAACCAGTTGGTGAAAATCCAGTAACTTTGAAAGAAAACAACGAAGCTGAAGGACCACCAAGTTCTTTACAAAAAGTGATTGTTGAAAATCAAAAAGAACCTGATCTAAAACAAGTCAAAGAACCTGATCTAAAGCAAATCAAAGAACCTGATCTAAAACAAGTCAAAATTTCAGCTCCCAAAAATATTAAAGAAAGGTTACAGTTTTTTTTTTCCGGCTTCAGTTTTCTATTCTTTATTTAAGTTGGTCATTTAATAAGCTTCGGATTTTTATTTATTGAGGATTATTTCACAGCTTCTTTAATATCAAAAAAACTGAAATTCTAAAAACTGTTGGATGATCTTTTATTCTTTAATTAATTCACTTAATTTATAATTTAATATCTTTTGTATGTGAAATTTATGCATAGTTGCCAAAGTTTCTGACTAAATTTCAATAATGGTTGCATTTTAAGATTAGAATTACCAGACGATGCAATTTCCCAGCCTATTCCACCATGTGGCAGTTCAGAGTTAATAAGGTATATATATTATAACTTTCTAAGAAAAGTAAGCAAAACCAGTTGGCCTATAATTATGAGTGCTACTGGTAAATTTTATTATTAATTTTGAAAGTTTTTTTTTAAAAAAAAAATGTTTTGAAATAGTTTTCTTCAGGTTAACGAATCTTACCTAACTTTGCTGCTGCTCATAAATTTTACTACCGATTTTACCAATAAATCCTCGATGCACGTTTAGCATCAAATTTCCAATGGCATTTTTAGCTAGTTTTGTGAATATTTCAAAACTAGACATTCAAAATTTTTAAAAATTTAAATCATGGATCTTTTCTGTATATCGACACTAAGTTTCAGAGAATTACGATTAGACGCATTTGCTGGTAATTTCTTTTCACAGCCTGTTGGTGTAGAACTATTAACACAGATCGATTACAGTGTCAATCAGGCAAGTTACAATTTTATAATGGATGCATTCTGCACGTCAAAATCCAAAAGCTTTAGAACTAGATTTCATCGGAGATGTCAGTTTAATTTTAATTACTACATTATATTAATGGTTGATTTATATAAAAAACATATAGAGAAAAATTTTGCAAATATTTGAGCATACATGGAAAGCTTAACTAATTGATAGTGAAGCCTATGGTTGATGGTTGATGACAAAGACTGTACAATAATCTTGGCAAACCTACACACACATCAATCCTGATCCATTTTTATATTCAAATTTAAAACTTATTACAGCATCCATTGGCACTCCTGGCGCGCCGTATGACACGTTTTTGTGTGACGAAGCGAACATACGAAATGATGTCGATTATCAAAGAAAGAGTAGATCTCAAATTTACCTGTGTACAACGTACACCCAATATGGTAATTTTAATTTTTTCATTAAAAAATAGCATAAATATCGAAGAACAGAGCAGTCAGTTGTTTCATTTAATGCAAAATGAAATAATTGATATTTGGTTTCTCTCTTTGACAAGATTTGAAATTGTGCAATTGCAGTAAATTGAGAAGTTTAACAAAAGTGCTATTTATAATGTAGAATTTGTACTTTTATAGTTTTACTATTTATAATGTTAATAATTTCTTACTATTAGTGCCGTACGAGTTACTAAATTGTTATAGCAGAAGAGAAAAACATTCCCAGTCATAGTTGATTGTATCAGTAGTTTTAAGTTGGATCTCAAGATGCATAAGTGCTTTCTTCTTAGCTGAAAAACTATTGTTTTCGTTTTAGATGTCAATTAGTGGTCCTCGAAATCGAATGTGTTATGTTGTAACAATTTACGAAATGATGGGAGAAGATGGCAGAAAAGTAAGATTTGCAAGCGAAATATAATATATAGTGATGATTGATATGTGAAAGAATCTCTAATAAAATTATTCATTTATTGCTAAATTCATTTAATGTCAATTAGAGCATTTTTTTTTAATATTTACATGCACTTCTTTTGTTGGTTCTCTAAGGTTTGCAAGCAGACAGATAGAAAGTTTTCGAATATCTGAAACAAAAAAAAAAAAACTGATATACTGAAATATTAGATGGATTTTGATTCTTTAGCTGAGCTATTGTTGTTTCTATGTGTTATTCGACATCACTGATTATATCACATGTGAAAGCTTATTTTATCAGTTGTGTTGCAGGTGATGGTAGATTGTCGACGGTCGCGTGGTGATGGAATTGAATTTAAACGAGCATTTTTAGATTTCAAACATAAATTGCGTGATGTAATATGTGAGTCAGGCAATACATGGTTACAAAGACAGGGTTTAGTGGTAATATCATAATCATATATTTGATGTTAATTTTAATTAGTGAATATTGATTTTGTGTTGATTTCCAAAATTAAACATATGAATGTTTGAGTTTTTTAGAAACGTTTCAAAAAATATTCAATGACTGGTATAGTGTTTGAGGTTTTTTTTTTGTTATATATGTTTGAATTTTCATATCTGTTTTGCTTCACTTTTTATTTGGAAAAAGTTGATTCAGCAAGAAATTATTGTATATGTATTATTCGAAATATTGCGATTTTACACTTCCACTTCTGAGTGACACGTATTAAAGTTTGATTCAAATTTGTCTCAGTGGTACGCTTTCATCTTTTCAACATTTTTTCTTTTAGTGTTTTATTTAAAATTTCATTTTTCTATTTTATTTTTCTGTTTGTTAGATTGTAGTTCAAAAAGAAAAAGTTCGGAAGTTGTGTCGAGAAAGGTCAAGATTTAACAAGTTAAACTCAAATCAAACCATTTGGGTAATGTAAGTAATGAAACATCATATTCAAACATTTAACATTATGATTTGAATTACTGCCATTTGTCGAACATAATTTTAATTTTATTCAATAAGATTGTAAAACTTAATAATAAAAACAAATCGACAGATTCTAGTCATACTTCAAAGCAAAATAGAATTTCTAAAAATTGAAATATATGCTTCCTTGTTTCTCCTGCATTTTTGATTAGCTACTTAGCAACACGTATTTTACTTCATTAATGTGTTTCAATTTCAATTATAGCATTAATCCGATTTCAATTTGGAATGATTGCACGATATTATTTATAAAGATTTTTTTTTTTTTTAATTTTCAGTAGATTAAATTAATCCCTTACACTGTCATATTTTTCATATAAAATATAATTTATAAGGATTGAAATGAAGTATAAGGAAAAGGAAAAGGAAGAAATTTGAATATTTCTATATGAAATTTTAGAAGCTAAATAACATTTTGAAGAGCTAATAAGTAATAGAAATCTCAAAATTTCACATTTCCTTATTTGAATACTTTTGGATCAGATTATCTTTTCCTAATTAATAGAAATATACTATCGTTTTTCTCTTATCGATTTCTTTCTTTTTTTTTTTAAAAGATTAAAAATTAAGAAATAGACGAATGGAAATCTCTATTCCTATCATCATTCCTAATTTTTCTTCTGTAATATTATGCAGTTTTAGTGAATTTAAATAAAATTTACTTCAAAATATTTAAGCTAAATCAATTAGACCAGTATGCAGCAGTTAATTACTATTAACCATTTCAGTCAAAGAAAGTTTTTTTCTTTTTTTTTTTTTTGTTCAAATAGCTTTTGTCGTAAATAGCTTATTGGTTTATTAGCAGTTCTTAAATTGTTTAAAATCATTTAATTATTTGTGTACAGGAATTGAAGTCTTTAAATAATTTGAACAAATAACTTATTAGCTTCTTCTTAAGAACAGAAATTAATTAAAATTATCGAGGAAACTCTGTTGTTATAGTTAATTAAAATTATTTTTTTTTTCTTTTTTATATTCCTGCATCGGAATCTTCAAGGAAAGTCTGTTGTGACAATTGCGCGAAAACTATTCCAATTTTTTTTATTCTATGAAGTAATTATTTTCCGCATTTATTAACTGAATAGTAGTAGAAGAATGGATCAATAGAAAATAAGTAAAGAAGAAATGATATAAATGATAAGGATAAAACTGGGTTAAAACTATCTGATTATTTGATTATTTCTTAGATAATCAGTTATCAGTAATTTTTTCTTTTTTTATTTCAAACATTTTAAAAATAACTTCTCTCTCTCTCTCTTTCTTTCCTTGAAATATCTAAATTTCTTTTCTCTGAAATTTTTGTGATCCAAGTTTTTGACAGTCAATGCGTTAAATTCTTCTTTAAATTAAGATATCTTAATTTTGATGTTATGAAAATTTTGTTTTTAATGCTATTTACAAACTTTGCTGAAACTTTACTGTGAAATTTAAAACAAAATTCACTACGAAAAGTTATAAATTTCATGAATGGAAATTATAGTTGGTGCATTTTTTGCATTAATAGTTGAAAAATTTTACTAAAAAAAAAGAGAGAAAATAATTTATAATATAATATATCTTTTTGAATTCCCTATTTTGTTGATAGTTTTATTTAAAATATAAAGAAAGTAGGAATACAAAATAAAATAAAAGGAATTGAAAAAAATAAAAAAAAAAAAACGATGCAAATTAAACAAAAAAACAAACATTCAAAAATTTAATTTTCTGCAATAATTTATTGACAATTTTTAATATAGCACAAATTTAAATTCATTCTTCAAAAGTTCATCATTATACTGAAATTCTTAAATATGATAAAAACATTTTCAATTTAATATGATAAAATATAATTTGCTAATTTTTTAGAATGCAATATTTGTTATAAATAAAAATTGCACTTTAATTATATTTCGTTTTATTTTTTCTATCTACCAGTAAAGCTAATCGGAAAATAGCTAAAATTCAATTGCTAAAATTGATAAATTGATAATTTAAAATAAATTTTTCTTTTTTCACAACATAAAAAGAAAAATTCAATAATGGATTAATTCATTTTGATAATATATTACCATTTTTTTTTTCTGTTGTAATTGTAATAAGGAAATAAATGTTTTAATCAAATGTTTGCAAATAAAAGAAATCAAAAAATATATATTCAATTAATTTATTTCCATTATCAGTATTACGCGCTGATTTTTCCAATTGATAAAAATGTTTTTTTTTTAAGGATTTAAAAAAAATAAATAAATGTAAATCACTAATAATAAATGAAACATTCAATTATATCGAATTCCAAGAAATGAAATAATTCAGAAAAAAAGAAAATTTAATTTACAAGTTTCAAGCTATTTTTAAATTGAATAGTGAAAATTACAAAAATAACTATTCAATAGCTTTTATACAAAAGTTTCATATATGTGAAAAAAATAGTAAAGCCGTTGGCTATTGAATTCTGTTTTATTAATGGCTAATTATATTTTACTTATTTACTTAATTATATTTACTTAATTAATTGATTAAAAGAAAAAATTATCCTAACCATTACTAATCATTTCAATCAAAATTTGATACAAAGATATTTTCGAGAGTTATTGATTACATAAGACCATTAGCTAAACAATTTAATTAATATCAGAATACTTTAAGTTGAAATAAAAAAAAAAAGATAGATTAATTGTTGTTAATTTTAGAATTTCTAACTATTATAAAATATTGCTTTCACTTCTGAAAAAAAAAAAAACGAAATAAAGATGAGAAACTGTCCGATTTACTTTTTCTTTTTAAAGCCAGCATTTCGCTACATAATTAATTAGTCAACTCTATTTAACACTTTGTTAATAATGGAACAATAAATATGTATGAGAATTTAATTTTACAACTTATTACAAATTAATAGTTTTTATTTCTGAATATTCAATTATACAAGTAAAACATATTTTCAAAATATTTTGTAACATAGCAGCAAAAAGAATTGTTATAGTTGCTCACAAATTCATTTTAGATCAGTGAATGAGGATGAAAATGAACTAATTTTGAATTCAATCCTTATTCTTATATCGTTAACATATTGTAACAGAAAAAAAAAATTGCAGTTTTATTACCCAAATTACTGTACAGCACTTCTAAACATACGAATTAAATTCATTACAAATCTCAAAAAAAAAAAAATTATTGAAATAAAGAAAAAAACATAATTATTGAAGACATTAGCAGCTATTCACTGCCAATCTTTTGAAAAGTAATGTATAATCCTGCAGTATAATGACTTAAAATTCATACTAAACATTACTGCATGAATCACTGACCAGAGGAATACAAATACTTTGATAAAAAAAAAAACAACCACCGAATAATCACTGGATATTCACCTGATAAAGATTTTATAAGAATAAGGAAGGAGAATGAATCAAATATATATTTTATAATTTGTTTGATTTTTCATCAACTGATTTGTCTCGCTCAATCGATTTCCCATTCTTTTCTTCATTAATACTGATGTTATCAATTGTTGTAACAGTAGACTTGATATTTTTCTCATCTTTTTCCTCCTTTTCATTGATTTTTTTCAATTCTGTCTCTATTAATTTGTTCAACTCTGTCTTCCATCCCAATAATTCGGCTAATTTCCAAGCACCATCATCTGTTGTGCCTTGCCAAAATACATCTCTAAATAACAGTTATAGAAGAAAATTATATTAATTGTAGTAAATGAAAAAAAGAAAGATAAATTGCAATTTTATTGAAAATTTCTGATAAAAATGTATAATTTTTGTTGGCTATCACACTTCTAACTTCAATTTTCATCTTAAATTGACTAACATTCATTTCACTGTTATCACTCTTTGCTATTATTACTATCATTCAAAAGCAAACCTGTAATTATCTTTATCATGATAACATAAGCCAGAACTACCACCATATGGAAATAATGAGCTTGTACTATGTCCAGCTTCTGTTAAATTGATCAATAATCGTGGCACATCATCGTTTACTTCATCAACTAATCCTGCGAAAGGATGTACGACGAGAGATGTTCCCATAATAATCAGAAGATCACATTTGGGAAAATCCTGGAAATATTTCATTTATTGACTTTTCGAATAATAAGGATGAAAATGTTTATGATCAACTAATTCCGGCCTTTTCTAACTACATTTGGTATCAAGTGGACAGCAACTTTTACACAACCTGTCTACTTCATACTTTCTAAAAGATACTCTGATTGAGTAATTGAAAAATCGTGCAGGAAGATTTTCGCCAAAAAATACGATATCTGGCTTAACGATTCCACCACACTTATCGCAGTGTGCTACTTTGACATGTTCCACAAATACTTTATCTGAAAAAGTTACGGAAATGGATTTTTCATTCAGTTCTACCGTTCCGGAAATACTTGCAAAGTATATTATACTTCAGTGATATCTCTTGCAACCGAAACTTTCAATGACAATTGAGACTAAATGGCCGGAACTAAATAACACCTCTACTCCTCAGTATAATTGTATTTTAACTTTAAATCCTACTTCCAATTATTATCCCTTTATAGTCATCATATCAAACGATTTGCAGATATGCAACATTTATGTAGAAGTACTCACTCATTATCCAATTCAGATCAAATTTTGCACGACATGATAAACAAGTGCTTGTGTGATGACATCCATGCGCTGTCACCAACTTATCTTCATTGATGCCTGTCACAAATTCTAAGGAATCAATATTCTGAAAACACATATAATTCTTTGAATAAATAAATGAGAACAAAAAATGGTATATTTCCTTGATTCTTCTTGGAATATTGGCTTTATTCCTCTGCTTAAAAATGAGCAGTTATCCGTAAGAAAAAATCCTCACAAGCATCGTAAGATCCAAAGATCAAGTCAATAAGCGTGCTAATTGCGCTTATGTGTTCGTTTGTGAAGAAAGCCGAAAGCAGAAGAAACATAATAAGTAATGAAGACAAACACATATGCTTGCCATTTGGTGAATCTCATTAATTAAAACGAAAGAATTAAGACAAAAGTTTACTTAAGAATACAAAGCACAGGATTTTTTTATTAATTTCATGCTAGTTGCAATGTAACATACCTGCGTGTACCACCTTAACAGCAAACCTTTTTCATCCATTAGACGAATCAAATAATGACAAGGAGTAGGCTGAAAACATAGAAATTACTTTAGTGTGGTAAATTTTTTCCAAAATTTCGCTTGTTATACGCCCAAAACATCATTTTATGACAAATAATAATGACAAATGATATTTCTTTGAATCAATGATTAAGCAAACAAAAATTTCGATTCCTTAGCGTTCATAATAGAAATGAAAATTCCTGATTTCTTCTTGTTTTTTTAGATTTGCAAAAGCTTCACCTTCAAATGTGATGGGAACAAATCTTTTGCTAATTTGTAAAATGGTTCAGGATGTTTCTTGAAATAGGAAATATCAAAAATAGCCATTGGGTCCGGCAAATTGTACTGTGATAGATTATCATATAAGCCAGTACCTGAATTTCAAAAAATTTTAAATTTGAAACATGTACAATCCATAAATTGTCACTCTTTTCTAAGACGTTTAGTGATAGAAATAATAACTGCTTAGTAAATGAACGCAATACAGAAAACTATAAAGTGGCACTATCAAATAAACTTAAGATATCCTTTGTAAAATATTAAACTAATGGTGATAACACAGCAGTTTCTGAAAAGAAAAATGTAAAAGTAATGCATTCCATATCTAAAAAAAAAAAAAAAAAAAAAACAATGATAAGATGAAACCAAACCTGGACTTCGAAAATCCGGAACGCCAGCGGATGTTGATATGCCTGCTCCTGTTAAAACAATTATATTTTTAACTTCACCACTGCGAATATATTCAGCAATACCCTCAATTGTCAATGATGATAACTTTTGCTTCGTATCTGAAATATATATTTTTTATACTCCTATATTTCAACTGACTCTTATCGTGTTCAAGATGTATGGCCTTTACCGACGTAGCGGATATAATTTATAGGAAAACGAGCAAATGGTAAAAAAAAGGAAAACCATATTGAAGATGCTGGAATATTTCGACAAATAAAAAAAACGGCCGAACTCATAGAACTCTTCATACATACAAATACTAGAAACGAAGGAAATATAATCATTGTAACCTTCATTAGTACCATTTTTAATTTATGGTTCAAGAAATATATATATATACAAGTTCATAACTGGTTAAATATAATAAGTTCCATATAATCAATGATAATACATATATTCATTTTTGAAAAAAATCAGAATAGCATATCACTAAATAGCATACTCCATTCATTTCATTCTTTATATCCTTATCCTTATCCAAAATGTTTTCATTCCAAATCAACATTGCTAAATACCTTCTTCATTTCAGTGCTCCTATTCCTACCTTATTAGTTAAGACTTTTGGTGAGATAACTTGGATTAATACAACAAACTACGTTCATCAACTTCAAATCATACCTTTTTCTTTTTCTTTGGTCGTCAGTTTTTCTAACTTCGTCATCAGCATCTCAAGAGCACTCGGACTAATTGGATTTTTATTGTCCGTTGGCTTCGATGATTCCATTAATGGTGAACTTCTATGCTTATTCTTTTTCGACGAATTGCCAGTTAATTCCTCTTCGGACATTTTGTCGCCTATCGTATTATTCTGAACAGCAATCCGCTAATAATATTACTTCGATGAAATTTTACTCCGTTTGTGACTCAAAAATTCCGAGAGCAAATTTATATGATTGAAGAAAACCACACACTTTAATTACCTATGCAACAATGGATGTATGCCAATACTACGTAACGAAGAATTTATAATATACTAAAATTCCTCTTAGCACTCCAAACTTTTCTTAAAAATCTGAGTGTTAGAAACTTCTCTTAACAAAGCAAAAACTTCCTTTAAACCAAATAAACCTTCTTCAGGAGTATTTCTTTTTCCGTTTCATATCTTTGTCAATATTTCGAAAAAGTGTCGTACAGACATCAAAAATTATTCGAATATAAATGGTAAAGGTACCTGTTTGGTTGATGAAAATAAAGAAGAAAAACGAAAAAACCGTCGAAAATTTAGCAAACCAATGCTGCAAACTCTGTAAAAATTGCAGTTATATTATCCGGCAAAAAGAAATGAATGATCTAATTTGAAGGTATAATAAAAAATAACGAAGAAAGTAACCAATAAGTAATAAAATTGATAAAATTTTTAAATTAGTTTAAACAACATTAAAATATGTAATTTTTGATAAGCTAAAATTTTAAACATTAAGGAAAAAAAATAATAACGCTTTGTCAATATAATTCTTAATAGATTTAATTAGCATTCATGCCCTTACAACTTATCATTAAATACTTGAAGATTTGTTTTTTTCTTTTCTTTCCAATTTAGTTTTAAAGTGAATATGATACAGATAACATTCAGTAGTATAATAAAGTATTATGTTTTGAAAAAAAAAAAAAACAAAATTTAAAAAGACCTAGATTAAAAAACAATTCATTTAAAAAAATTATTTTAGGTAATTTATGCATAAAAATTCCGGAAGAAAAAAAAAATCAGCTAAAAAGAGAAGAAGAGTAAAATGATTTTTTTTTTAAAAAAAGGAAGAAAAAGAAATGCTTACGACAGCGCTGATGACCTATTGATAAAAGTTATAGTTCGTAAAATTGTTAGACTAATTTTATATGATAGCATATACATGAATTGTAAAGAGATATAAAAATGGAAAATGTAAATTAAAACTTTCTGAAAAGAAAACCTTTTCTATTATGCGTGTGCGCACTATATTAGGTTTCAATTTTCATTCTTTTTTTATTGAAAAATTAAATTATTATTCAGTTTAGAAGGGTGAATTTCTTTTTTTCCTTTGATTCAAAATGATATGAAAAAAAAAAAAAAAAAAAAAAAAAATGTATTATATTCAAAAATTAAACATTACACAAAGAAATTGCTCTCTGATCATTATGAATTCAATAGCTCATAAATATTGAATTTAATTCATTGAAACAAGAAGGAAAGAGGGGAAATAAAAAAAAAAATAAGTTTGTGATTTTAATTCAAGCATAAAGATTAATTAAGTTAATGGATGTAGAAAGAAATCAAAGGATTAAAACCTTTTTCCTGTTTTTTGTTCCCTCTTTTTCACCTTGAAATTAATTGTAAAAATAACATTTGCATCGCTAAATACTTCGACTGCTTCATTTCATAAATGGGAAGGTATAAAATATGTAATGTTTTAAAATTAGATTTGAGATATGCAATTTTATTTTTTGAAAATACTGGAAAATTTTGCAACATCGTTAACAAGAACAGTATAAATCAAATATTATAAAATCATTGCCATTGTGAATGAATTACGTATGATTTGAACGTGTATGATAGATTTGTTTGTAGGATTCCTAATTGATACATCAGATTTATCTCGAAAAGTGTTCTTTTATATAGCTGAATAATACAATGTTCTATTCACTCATGCAAATGATTCCATAATTCACAGGTTTAATACAGCAATAATGATGATAAATGAATAACATGAATCGATATCTAATATGAATAATATAATAATCTTTTTTTTTTTTCGTTTTTTAAAAATATTTTGAAATATTTAAATAAAAATTTGACATACGTTTCACTACAGATAATCAAAACAATACACGTATTTTCATTCATTCGTTAATTCTCTAATTTTATGTAACGTATAAAAAACCGTTCAACTGTGGAAATAATGACGTGAAAATGGTTTAACTTACTGAATAAATAAGTAAAACAAGCACACAATTCTACTCTTTCAATTTTATAAAAAAAAAAAAAACTCTTAATTCAAATTTCTGAAAAAAATTTTCGGCAAACTTTAAGACTTTTGCACTTTGGTATTTATAATTTTCTTTTTGAATTAAAGAAACTTTCTTATATTGAAAACTTTTGAGACAACTTTAAGAACTCAGTGTTTGCATGAGATCATACAGAACAGTACACGCGATTTCTAATCAAACGACGTCAGTTTCTCGAAATAAGTTGCTTCTTGAACACTTAGTAGTTTGGATCTGAAAAAAAAAAAAAAAACGCCAAACTAATATGTGGAATCAATCTTTCTAAATGAAATACTACAAAAAAAAAAATGCTACTGACGAATCGAGTTTAAGAAATACATACATTGAACCTTCAGGAAATGTGAAGCGCATACGACTCAATGCCATGGTAATTGAAGTGAGAAGAGGTGAACAGGTTTTGTTTTGCCATTCTTTGTCCTAAAAAAAAAAAAAAAAAAAAAAAATCACAAACATTAATTATTGTAGTTAACCACCAAATGCCGGCATTCTTAAAGTATATATTTTTAATAATTTTTTAAATAATGATTTAGAAAAAGAATTAAATATAAAGCTGGTACCGCCTAGCTCTATATTTACTTCTTCATTTAAATCCTAGTATATCCTCATTATCTTACGCTTATGATGAGAAAAAGTGATGAATACAGGAAATATGCAACAAAACAATGTAAAGTTCTTGCTCATAAATGATATCAATAAAAAAAGAAATATCACAATTCTCAAAAAAATGTAAAAAAAAAAAAAAAAAAACAAACCTTTACAAAATTGTTACAAAAAAACCCATACAATTAATCAATTACTTAAAAAAGATTTGACAAAAACAGAAAACAAACATTAACCTTTTTAACGGATCGCATATATCTTTCGAGATGACTACAAAACTGAAGCAATACCAATACTATTTCGTGTAAATCTTTTTGTACCACACCGAAACGATCCTCATTTAATGATACGCAAATAAGTGCCGAAACACCTGAAGAGAAGGTAATTTTCAAGTTATTTATTGCAATACAAATTAAATTGGAATTCAAGGTAATTATCACAGACAAACTTAAAAACTTGTCACAACTTAAAAAAAAACAAAAACTTCAGACAATTTCACAATGTTAAAACTAACTTTAAAAATGTGCGCATTTTGTTCAAAAAGGATAATGCTGGGTCCCAACGCTAATTAGATAAAGGGAGAATACGTGGTCTAGAAATTACCAGAAAAATCTTATTAATCGAGAATTTGATAAGAATGGCATTACAACTAGACAATAACAGTTTCGTTCCACAGAACTACAATACCACTACAATATAAGCCACTATCAAAAGATGGTATAAGGGAATTATAATTCATGAAACCAAATTATTAATGCCTAGCTATAATCTCATTTTAATCAGTAGCTAGACTATAATAGAACTGATAAGTTATTATGAGTCTCAAAATAAAGTTAGCTATAATCCCTTTTAATAAATTGGCAAACAAAACAAGACAAAAAAAAAAAAGAATTTCCACTAACTGACTTTCTATAGCAAGAATACCAATATAGACATCGAAGAATGAAACAATATGATGACTGATATGAATGAGAGACTTAAATTTATCCAGAAAATATGAGAATGTATTAGCATGAAAAGGATCTTTGCTTTCTTTCCGCAAATTTATAGGCACTAAACGTTGACGAAGACCATCTGAAAAATGACATTTATCGAGTTAATAGTAAAAAAAAAAAATCAACATATCCTATAATTTTTTGTCCAGGAGCAATGAACACTGCATCTCAGAAAATCTTAAATGCAAAATTGGAAGCATCAAATACCTTTTTGCCATGCCATTTGACCTAAAATAGCTGGGCGATTATGGCCAGATGATGGTAATAAGGGAGCAGTCTAAACAGAAAATTCATTATTTTAATGATAACGACGTTGCATAATTTTTTTTTTTTTTTGAAAAAAAGAAAAAAAAAACCTGAAATATGATAAAGAAATATAAGATCTGATAAACACAGCAAGGTCAAACCTCAAACAACATCATTCAACTAATTACAGTTTCAGTAAAATCGTAGCTAATTTTACTTAATGTACAAATAATGTCACTCTGAACTGCTGCAAGATAATAGTATGAAATATTAACAATAATAAAACTAAAAAAAAAAAAAACAAAATAAACAAAGGAAGCATACCACACTTGCAAATGTTTCAGATCGGATTCGGTCATTTTCATTTTCAAACAGCAAACTAAGACGCTCTATGTGTCGCAGACAAGACAGTTTTATAGCTCTCCAGTTCCGAGGATGACCACCTATAATTTTCTGGAGTTCTGTTAGAGAACTTGAAATTAATTGTAAAAGTTTAAAATTCCTCCTTCTTAATATACAATGCATAGATAAAACACATCGATCTATTTTTCATCCATCCTTTGAAAACAGCAGTTTAAGATTTTATCGTTAAATAATCAAAAATTCCTAGTCTTTAATGAAATTAAACTGTGTTATCAACTGATTACAGTTACCTGGCTGACTTAATGAAAAAATAATTTGACGGCGACGATGACATGCAGCACTTAATGAACGCAAATCCCAAAATGCAAAAGCCTGAAGAATAAGAAAATAAAAATTCCAAAGCTAAAGCATCATTCGACAAAAAAATTTATCTGCTCAATAAAATTTAAAAAAAAAACCTTTATAATGCCATTAGATTCAAGAGCATTCATCAATGTCCTCTGTTCCTCTGGTGTCGGATTTAATACAGCATGAGGTGGTGGCATGGAGAATTCATAATTCTAAAAAATAAAATAAACGCTAGAATACGATTTTATTCATAATA